CTAATTGTGTTTTTCCTTTTTGGGAAATTAATAGATAGTAGTATGTAGTTTTTGTGATAGCAATTAGCGAGTTTCTTTGTACAGCTATAGAGTTTCACTTTAGAAAATGTAAAAAGGATCTTTGTATTTTTCTAAGAAAATCCAATCTGCCCACTTTCAGATGGTTGAAGGTTGTAAGAGTAAAGGGATATTTGGCTCAGTCTTGGGGTTTTACAACTCAATTCAAGACGTGACAATATAAGAGCTTAACGCACACTCCCTAAAAAAAGATATTTAAATATGCAATTATAAGTATTTTGTAAGGGAGGGAGGGAGGGTACCAAGTCTGTGAGTGCGTCCTGAGATCTGCGTCATAGATTTATGCCTCCCTGGAGTTTATTCTGTATTAGGGTATTATGACTAATGTTGCTAATGGTATTTTTAAAAATAAACTGTACGAATATTTTAAAAGCTTACATAAAATTTGTAGATAACAAGACTAGTGAGCAAAAGGATTGTTAATTTTTCTTAGTCGTAGGTCGTAGCCTACACATTTTGTTTTTCACAATCGTTCTGGGTTGACCCCTCGACATACCATAGAGGCGAGTTATTGTCAGAGCTGTCGGCGTGAGTGATCAGTTTCGTGTAATAGTCAGATACACATTTTCTTATAAGGGTCGGTCTATAACCAGACAGAAGTTTTGTTATTTTATCTATAGCAAGATTAAGTTTTGTTTTATTGTAAATCTCCATCTCTAGCCAGATTACGTTTTGTTTTATTACAAGTGTCGGACTATAGCAAGATTAAGTTTTGTTTTATTATAAGTGTCGATCTATAATTAGATTAAGTTTTGTTTTATTGTAAATCTCGATCTATAGCAAGATTAAGTTTTGTTTTATTATATATGTCGATCTATAACAGATTAAGTTTTGTTTTATTTTAAATGTTTTATAGCCAGATTAAGTTTTGATATTATGTTGTAAGACTTGATGTGTATTATAAGGGTCTGTGTAATCAGCAAATGAAGTCTTGTTATATAATTAAAGGCGAACTCTAATCTTACTTATTAGAATATACGAGCTGGGGATTGAATGAACGCGCAGTCCCGTGTGTTACCCACAGTGTGGTCGGTGAAGTGGATGAGGAAGTCAGGCAAAGAGAGTCACTAGGCCGCCAAATCCTCATACCACCCCGCTGCACTGGGTGAACATTTCTTTAGCTTACACCGCCGTGGATACATTGGTTGGTTGGTTACTTTCAACGGTAAGGTTGATACATTACTTGGTCACTCTAAACGGTAAGGTTGTAGATGTTCGTAGTGTGCATGTGTTACTGTATCCGTGGATACATTACTTGGTTGGTTACTTTCAACGGTAAGGTTGTGGCTGTTCATGGTGTGTGTGTTACTGTATCCGTGGATACATTACTTGGTTGGTTACTTTCAACGGTAAGGTTGTGGATGTTCGTGGTGTGTGTTACTGTATCCGTGGATACATTACTTGGTTGGTTACTCTCAACGGTAAGGTTATGGTGCATGTGTTACTACATCCGTGGATACACTACTTGGTTGGTCACTCTCAACGGTAAGGTTGTGGATGCTAGTGGTGTGTGTGTGTGTTACTGTATCCGTGGATACATTACTTGGTTACTCTCAACGGTAAGGTTTTGGCTGTTCGTGGTCTGTATTTGTTACTGCATTGTTTACAATGTACCTCAGTAGTTTCGTTGGTTTTAGTTTCTAAAAATAAGCCCTAACTAAACAAACAAAAAAAATTCGTAAAAATGTAGATGCATAAATAACAACTTAAGGCAATCGTTCTTAAAACATTCGGCTATTGTGTCATGTAATCTTCAACATTTTATGAATGTAGTTGTAAAAATAGTCTCACAATTTGAATCTGAATCAATAATATTATGACTAAGATTATTATGGCAAAGTAGTTCAAGTTTGGTGTGGGCGGGGGGTGAAAGGATGACGTAGATTATATACGGATGTAAATACAGGCAGAAAAAGAAGACGCATATTTGTACTCTGATCAAAACATTAAACAAGTAATCTTGAATTTGAGTATCAAAGTTGTAGAAATAATTTAATTTGCATTACGTAGCCAACACGATAGATTAAAAACTTGCAACCCCTTTCTACAATGTATATTGTTCCCGTAAGATTACTTACAAATAATTATTTCATTGGCGTAATATTACACCAATAAATGGGAGCAAGCACTGGTACGCACGTCTCATTAGTCAAGTCCACAGGATTTGATAGGAGATCAATCATCGATCACGCTCTCTAGGCCGTAGGGTGTCCTAACATTTCCAACTAGACAGGTTTGCTGTTCCGTTCAGGGATTTGTAAAGTGATTTGGCTTAAAAAAACATGTTTTAAAGTAGGTCTACTACAAGGTAAGACAGAAGATGCTACTTTACATTTTTATCAGAAGGCCTACAATAAATTATGATATTTTTTACCTCTCCTTTACGTATTATACAATACGAAAGGTGTAGATGATTTTGTTATTTTGTATTATATTTAGTAAACAGGACGAGACTAATTAGTTGTTTTAAATGAAGTAAAATGTGTTCTACAAAAAATGTGATTTTCCTTTAACTAAGATAAATTGATTTTAAATAATTGCGTCATCGGTTGAGGGGTGGTTTCTAGACAAGTTTTGACGGCCCGTTGTCTAAGGAGATGATGTAGTTCCCATTACTCAATATGGGATAAGGCTAGAGATGCTATATTATATTAAGTAATTGGACGGCGGGGGTGGGGTGGTAGAGCATATGTTTGCTAACCCCAGAAGTCCCGAGTTCGGATCCCCGTGCAGATTTGACTCGTTAGTTGGGGGCAGCAACCCACGTAGGAGAGACAACTATAAAACGGCCGTCTTGCAATTTGTTTCTTTGGTAGACAGAGGCTATGGAGGAACGAAAAGAAGGCTGAAGTCGAAATCAACGCAGTACTTACATGTTTTAGCTTTAGAGGAAAAAGAATTAGTTGCACACTCTTTTTATACAAAGCTTTTTTTGGCTGGTGTTTTTTTTTTTCGAAAAGGCCCATTTCTACGCCTATATTATATTATAATAAAAGATGTTTTATTCAATTGATAGCTTATATGTACCGTGTTGATGGTTTATATGTAGGCCTACTGTGTTGATATCTTATATGTACCGTGTTGATAACTTATATGTACCGTGTTAATAGCTTATATGTACCGTGTTGATATCTTATACGTACCGTGTTGATAACTTATATGTACCGTGTTGATGGCTTGTATGTACTGTGTTGATGGCCTGTATGTACTGTGTTGATGGCTTGTATGTACTGTGTTGATGGCTTGTATGTACTGTAAGACCACTTAAAACCTCACCGTCTTCAAAGTTGATCACTTGCCACCATTAGAGTGTGTTTCTTAAGTGGAGCGTGTAGACACTTTAATTTTCTTCACTTTTAAGAAAATAATATTAACTATAACCTGCTGTTTAAAAAAATCTAGGTTAAATAGACCTAATAATGATAATAATAATAATAATAGATAGCATATAGAAGCGCTACATAATCTATCAGCCTTCATTAACAGTTTATTTTTAGGGTACTATAGGCCTACAACCTAACGTTAAATTAAATAACATTAAATTACGTATTGGGCTATGCAGCGCTTCGTTCTACGTGAAAACAAAGGATTTTTAAAAAAATCTTAGCCCTAAGTAATTTCGATGGTGTGTTCACTCACCTCTCCCCCCCCCCCCACTCCTAACCTTATAGACTATCTAAATCATTATCTGTTCCCGTTTGCGCACAAGTCACATCTGTTTTAGGGGTCATCCATAAATGACGTCACGCTTTTTTGGACGATTTTTACCTCCCCCCTCCCCTCCGTCACACGTCGTTACAAAAAGCCAGACCCCCCCCCCTAAAATGACGTCACATCTCAACCTACAACCCCCCCCCCCCTCAAAACTGCAGTTGAATCTTTTTAAAATATCGATATTTTTCCAAAATCTTGTCTAAACTATTACAATTTATTAAAACAGTTATATAAAACGCGAAATAACGTCTAAAATTCATTTTCTAACATTGCTTTTTTATAATGCAAAAATGTGACGTCGCAACATCTGAACCCCCCCCCCCCCCCTCCCCCTCATCACACATCGTCACAAAATTACGGACCCCCCCCCCCCCTCCCCCCTACGAGTGTGACGTCATTATGGATGACCCCTTATTGTCCTTGGCATATAGGAGTCACAATGTGGATATTCGCCTTATGTTAGGTACCCACCAGAGCTACTGATTTGAACCTGGAATCGAACTCAAGACTTTCGGGTTAGCAGTCTAGCTCTCCAATGCTAAGATCTAAAAAGTGCAGATAAATGTTTTTCTGTCCGATGAAATATCCGCCACTACTGTTAACTGTTTTATACATCATAAAAACCGGTAAGGGGCAGTAACTAGTATAAAGCAAACAAAACCTTTCCAAAAAGCGGGTTGGGTGTGCTTTTTTTTTGCGTGGGCCTATAACGCGTTTATTTATTAACTAGGCCTATATAGAAATGGGATTTGGGCGCAAAATAAATAGTTCGCACCGGGCTTTGGAATGAGTTGCAACGCCTCATAACATAAACAGTTGCTAATCCTGAATCTAGAGAAAGCCCTTTATTGATTTAGTTAGGGCAATCATATAATGATGTGTAAGGTTTTCATTATTAAATTGGTGTGTGCTAGAATTATGTAGTACTTAGCAGTAAAAAAAAACAGATTCGATGTCAAACTCGTTACTACCCAATAATTACCATCTACAACTACTTGTAAAGTATGCAACTTTAATAGTATTAATTGCCAAAGTAGTGAAAATACCATTTAATCTTCCTTTTTAAAATAAACGAGAACGTTTTCCTTGAAAATTAATAGACTGATAAAATTTCAAAAAGACAGATCTAGAAATAGAATCTAAATATATATTTTTTTAAAAGCGTAATCGCCCATACTGAACTGGGAATTGCGGAAGATGTAGTCAGTTCTAGGTGGAGGCTGGAAAGTCTATTGTTTACCCTCGGTCGCTTGGAAGTAAGTTGCTGCCAATTCATTGTCATGAATGAAAAGATAAGAATAAGTGAGTAGATTTAAAGAATTTTTACGTGAAGTTTGTGTTTTAAAATGTATTTAAAAATCTAGTAACTTTTAGACCAAATAAAAGTCTTTTTAACTAGATCTAGAGATCTAGATCTAGGCCTAATCGCTTAAAGATGAAGAAAGTTTTTTTTACACTTCAGTCCGCTACAGTACACTCAGTACACAGTACTCAGTACACAGTTAAAGTAGATCTAGTACTAGATCTAGATTTCTAGTACACACACAATCATCACAAGTCACAATGAGTTCGGTCAGTGACCTGAGCGTCCGGTGTTGGTAAATTTTACTTAAAATTAGTAATTTCATTAATTTGCGACAGAGTAGAATCACAAGCGTCAGCGAAGAAGAATGAATAGTATTGAAATTGAATAGTGTTGAATAGATTTTTTAATGCCCTTAATTTAAGGCTAATTAAAAGAGCTCTACTAACTATTTTTACTAGATCTAGATTTAGAAATTTAGAGAGATAGGGCCTATAGAAATCTACATCTTCTAGACTAGAAACTAGAGATGTAGATCTAGAGACTATAGATCTAGATTCTAGATTTAGATATGAGTGTTGAAGTGTTTTAGTTTTAAAGACAGACTGCCTGACTGGTACTACACTTTTACAGCTACTTTTACTTTTAGGCCAATTCTAGCCAGAAAAAGATATGCATGCGTACTGGAGAGAAACTACGACTTTCCTTTGCAGCGATGTTTTTGATGGTACTGTGCATGCATGTGTTTACAACCTGCAGAACTCTAACCCCAACCCTACCCATAACCCTAGCTCAGCTATTAAGGTCACTGCGCATGCGTAGAACTATCTTTTGCCGACCAAGTGGAAACGCTGGGTCGAAAAATCTTTTTCTGAGTAGTCACTTCGTTACTTTTAATAGGCCTACTTAGGTTCAATAATAATTAATATGGCCTAGCCTATATATAATATATAGGCCTAGGTCTACAGGCTACATACCTAGATCTAGCTAGAATCTAGATATTCTTATTCTTCTAAATACTGACTTAACTTAACTTTCATATTAAAGGCCCTAAAGGCTAATCAAGGCTATTTGATAATTATTAAAGTTACAGTAGGTCAGTAGGGCCTAATTTTTTGGTAAGGTATTAGTACAAATGACTGAGAGCCAAAATGCTAATGTGTATCAGTGTGTGTTGTGATCTAGAATCTAGACTAGATGGGGCCTATAGATATATTATTCTAGTCCTATTATTAGGGTTAAGGGGTTGTCTAACATCACAGTCCTTGGTGGAGGGGGGGGGGGGGGCTGACCAAAAATGTGACCACCAGCCTATCATTCTGTAAAAAGCTGTATTTGTAAACTGTAATAAAAATTACTTAAGGTTGACAGAGCTAAAAAAATATTTTGTTTAAAAAGGGGGGTTGTAGGGTTAGATGTCATTTTAGAGTTGGGGTCTGATTTAGTGCGATGATTGTGAGGGTGGGGGTAAAATGCTTAAAAAAAAGCATGATTGTGTTAATTATAAATAACTCAGATAACCCTAAAATCTATTATTATTAATAGTCTAGTAAGTTAAGTTCAGTAGCATAATGTACTAGATCTAGATTCTAGATCTATGTAGGCCTACTTTACTCAAAACTGATTCTAGCATAACTGGACTGCAGACTAGATCTATAACAGATCCTAGATCTACTTCTGCTAATAGCCCTTAGGAAATCATTTGAAAAATATTAAAAGTCTGTACCCTACCAAATAGGCAACATAGACTGTCATAGATCATCTAGTTGCATAAAGTATTAAAAATTAATCTTCCTAGTTCGTACCTAGTTCAATTCACCTGAAAATATCTTTTTATTGTTTCTGTAACATAGCTAGTGGGGATTTCAGTAGAGGCCCTTGGCCTAAATTGTATTAATTAGTATTATACTAATAGGTCTAGTCCGTCTAGTGTATGCTACTCTATGTAGAGTAAACTGTTCCCAGACTGAACTGTTGTAGGTCTACGAGCAGATGTACACCTATTAGTCCTACTTATGCATGAATTTCTACAGGCTATACCAAGGGACTGCAGACTTTAGTTTAGCTAACATCCTAAACCAGCAAACATATTGTCTTTAGTTTCCCTGAACTGTGCTGCAGTTAAGTTAATGGCATCCACATATTTCATAAAAGCCATTTTCATTTCTAATTTTTATGTTATACTAGGCTACCTGATATCCTTGGATAACTGTGGGTTTTGAGGGTCATCCATAAAGAACTTCACATTTATTTGATGATTTTTATCTTTCCCCTCCCCTCCCTACTGTCACACATCATCACAAAAATCCAGACCCCCCACATTCAAACAGGCGCCACACCTCAGACATGTTTTGGTCTTTTAAAAACACCAATTTTGACTGAGCATGGGTCTGACCACACTATCCCTTTATATGCAGAGGTCACAGAAATAGTTGAGCTCTACTTCACCTGCCCAGTGTCCCGTCGAGCCACAGACTACGTGTTTTTGTCTTTTAAAACACCAATTTCAGCTGAGCATAGGTCTGACCACAATATCCCTTCATATCCTGAGGTCACAGGTGAACTCTACTTCACCTGCCAAACTCTACTTCATGTGCCCCATGTCCCACTAAATCCTGATAGTCAACTTTATTCACATCTAAAAAGAAGTCACACCTCAGCTTAAATGTTTTTGTCTTTTTAAAAAAAAATCGATTTATTTCTGTCATTGTTTTACAATGACCAATTACCAACACTGAAGCACTATGGTACCACTACCATACTGGCAAAAGTAATAGTCATACACCATAGGAAATATCAACCACATATTGTTGACTATATCATTGTGGTTACTCCCCTGCTTCATTAAAATGGAGGATTTTCTATTTCCAACAAAATTAATGCTAGTCAAGTTAACTTAGTAAATAATTTGAATTTGATAATCATCACAAGAAGGATTTTTACTCGGTTAATTTACTAATATTCATTGTAACCTATGTCATCTATTAAAAATGCTTAACACTATGAATTCATAGGCTATTAGTCATTCATTAATGCTATCAAGTTCTTTTTTTGCCAATGCACCCACCCCACTATTGCCAACAGAATGTAAGATTTATTTACTAAACACATAAAGTACTTTAAACCAGAAACAGAAATGACTATGAATTTGCAATAGCAATATCACCAACAAAACCTTAAAACTAAAGCTAGACCTCACCATAAAACTAATCCTAATTCCCATTATCATAGAAAATTTATTCTTTGCTGTTTTGGACTAAGCAGTAAGGAATATTATTTATTATAGGCATACTACTTTATTTCTTTATTTCATGTACTTAAACAGAGATCATTACTTTGTTTTCAGATCTTGTCATCAAGGATACTAACATTCAAAGGACAATATTTAGTCATCTTCCCTCTCTAAAGTATTCAGCCATGTTTCATTGAAAGCATGAGTCACTGTATTACTATCACAATCTGTGACAGAACCAGTTCAGACCTCTTGTGACATTCTCAGGCGGAGTAGGATGTACCCAAACACATTTATTTGCTGTTAAAGTGAGAACCATTCCATTCAACTTTGGACACAATGAGTTTCCACATTTCAACATTCCACAGGCAGCACTCACAAGTGATATTTTATCTTTTCTTTATTGTATTGGTAAGTTGTTTTTATTTACATATAATTAATTAATTAGAATATTAGTTATGAGGGTCTAAAAATTAGATCCTAACGTGATCATTAATTTATATTTTCAATTATAATATTCTTTATTTTTTTCTATCTGTTGTTATTTGATTTAATCTTCAAATCATTAATTCATTTATAAGTTGACCTGAGGTTTAACAATTTTGCTGTTCGAAGCTTATTATTCTAAAAATCCATACCTATACCTTTTTGGTGCCCTATGACAGAGGTTTTTAAAAAACCCATCAAGATTAGACTTAACTATAACTGCTTTATTGCATTACACAATTGCTTAAAAATATTAATATACATTTTAAAAATTATAGACATATATCCTAGCTATACATTTTTCATAAAATCCTGTTAAAAAATTACTGGTTAAAACAAATATTGAGACCATTGGTTTTGAGCAGTGGTTCTTAACTTGGGTTTAATCAAACCCCTGGGTGTTACATTCTCAGTGGTTTTGCAAGTCAAGATACACGCCCGACTCATAAGATACACAAGCATATTTTGTCTATGTGGATGATAGAGCTATTAACAAGGGTTTGGTGAATGCGCTTATGAAATTAGTGGGGTTTGGTACCTCGAAAAAGGTTAAGAACCACTGGTTTAGCGATAGGGCTATGTTAGCACAACAAGACCTGCCCTCCGCTTGTTATTCTGTAGACCACTCTTTGAACTAGATCCTGTTGATAGGTGGCTAATAGTACAATATCATTGTAACTAAAGTAAGTTCCCTTTCAAACCTGACGGTCTATGGGGCAAGTAAAGTATACGAGTTTCCTCACTTCTAGCCCAACTTTGCTGTATAGTTTCACTAAAAATATTAATTACGTGAGATCCTGTTTCTATGTAACTTACAAACAGACTTGCTCATACTTCAACGATGTACTAACTATAGCTTGTTAAAACCTCTCTTTTATTTTCATGTTGAAATGGAGTGTATTCCTTGTTAAGCTAAAAAGAGTATTGATATGTCGAATTATGGTTTGTGTAGTTTTAATTATTAGGTATCATTATTATTGGTGGTTCTGTATTTGATAATTACAAAATAGTTGTTTGTGTCTTGCTTTTAAGAGGAAAGTTCCAGAAAGTGTGTTGAAGGTTATCAAAGTTGTAGAGGAAAGTTCCAGAAAGTGTTTTGAAGTTTATCAAAGTTGTAGAGGAAAGTTCCAGAAAGTGTTTTGAAGTTTATCAAAGTTGAAGAGGAAAGTTCCAGAAAGTGTTTTGAAGTTTATCAAAGTTGTAGAGGAAAGTTCCAGAAAGTGTTTTGAAGTTTATCAAAGTTGTAGAGGAAAGTTCCAGAAAATGTTTTCATGATTATATCATTCCTGAAAACCCTTCACAATACATTACCAACTGTGCTACATTTAATTCATGTTTATATGCATCATATTTATTTAACTCCTTAAAATAGCAGGCACCAGATATTAAGCTTGTAATGAATAATTAACTCTCCCGAATATAATTGCATTTGTTTTTAATGTAGAGAATTCAAAAATCTATAAAAGTAAGAATTGTTGCTTGCACTAGTAAAACCATTGACATTGTTTTGTCAGGTACTGTATGGTACAGAAACATTTTGTTTTCCCCTTGTTTTGATCAACTAAATCAGGTCCAGTTAGACTTTTTACCTACTTTACTTACTAAGTCACATGAAAGGTGTAAACAAAAACTTTAGCCTACTTGCCGCTGTGGTCTACGGTATGTTTTTGTAACAAAAAAAAAACTGGGATGTTTTATCTTAATCCTATTAGGGCTCTTACTGAAAACTAGCCAGGCGTTTAAAAAAGAATGTCTATTGTACTTGAACGTATATCATTGCTTATAAAATCATGCATCTAGTATAACATCATCGATGGCGTATTTCTGTCTAAACTTGTAATTCTTTAATTAGAATGTTTACACGTACAGCCAATTAAGGATTTTATCACTGTTCGTGATCCTCGTATGTGCCCTGTAATTAAGGCGATACGACCGTAGCTAGAACGCCCATGTTATCGTGTTGTGGGTCCGCGAGGATCAATAGCTGGGTGTACATGTTTTGTCGTCCCATGAAACATTTCGTTTCGTTTGCCGAACCATTAGCTAAACAATCAGAGAGCACGAAACACACTGAAACATGCAATAGCATCACAGTTTTGGTGGGTGATACATTTTATGGAGGGTGACATCGCTGTTTGCGTATCCTGTGATATCTCAGATTAGTTTGGCTTGATGGAGATAGCATATAAATAATATGTGATTAGAAATGTAAATTACCACTATCAGTGATGTAACATGTGGGGGGGGGGGGGGGGCAGATGCTGGATGCTCATCATACAGGCGACACCAAAAAAGGAAAAAAAATTAGGCAAGGCAAACCTATCTCTGTGAGTAATGTAGTGGCACTCGTAAGCAGACCCATCCAACACAACCGAGTGCCGTAGGATGCATTTTTGATTCATGATCTAAAGTCTAAAGTACGACTGCTTTCAGTCAGTGGTTCATAAATTATTACCAATCATTACATAAGCTTTAGTTTTTTTATGTGAATAGTTTGGCCGTAAGACTTTAAATGGTTACTGCACTTTTCCAACACGTTAAATAAATAATTTGGCTGTAAGACTTTAAATGGTTACTGTACTTTGCTAACACGTTAAATAAATAGTTTTGTGTAAGACTTAAAATGGGTACTGCACTTTGCAAAGAGGGCACATTGAGATGAAGTTCAACTTGTCGCTTCATTAGTACGGATCTCATACTCTGCCGTACGCACTGGCAAGGGCTTCGCTCAAGCTAAACTCGCCCCTGGCATATAGTTGTGATGGTCGCATCTTTATGCCTACATGTCAGTGTACACAAGTCGACTTGATAGATTTGACAAGAACGCTACTTGTCTCCTACTTCCTAATGATTGCTAACTACTATTGACAACAAACGGCTGGAGGAAGTAGATTCCGATGCTCCTATGATTCACTTGTTGTTCCTGAGTGATTAGTCATAGAGTTTTAAAACATGTTTATTTTATCGGGGCTATGCGTAAACATCACGCCGCTGACATTGACACACCTGTCTTGTCCACGTCTCACCATAACAGTACGGCGACATTACGTTATTGACACCCCTGTCATGTCTACGTCTTACCATAACAGTACGGCGACATTACGTTATTGACACCCCTGTCTTGTCCACGTCTATTACACCATAACAGTACGGTGAAATTACGTTATTACACTGGGATCTAGAGATGGTTCACTTTATATAGTTACATTTTGTAATTAGGCCTGGGGAGGCATACACAGTTTAAACCATAAATATTTGAATGCAATCTGAATGATAAAACAGCCTCTCTAAAACTGGCTACAGGACATTACCCCCCACCCCCCGAAATTTCCCCTTGTCCTCCCCCCCTCAAGTTAGAATCCTAACTCTAATTAGAATTCTATACCTATATACTACTTTATTCCTAACCTTTAGAAAAAGACCAAAACCTAAGCATCCAACTTAGCATAAAACTTAACACAAAACCAAAACTAACGCTAGAAATTGGTTTAAGCCTAACCCTAAATCTAGCCCTAGCCCTAGACCCAACCCCAGGCCTAAACCTAACCCAAACCCTAGTCCTAGCCCTAAACCTAACCCTAACTCTAACTTTGTCCGGGGGGTGGGAGTAATGTCCTACTGTGCGGGGGGTAATTACTCCGGGGGGTAATGTCGGGGGGGGGGAGGATTACCCGGGGGGGGGGGGGAATGTCCTGTTCCCATAAAACTAGAATCTACTGATTTATAACATTCTTTTGTTTTAACTTGAAACTACTAGGCGAGCTTCAATCTGATATAGTACAATGTTTTTCACCTATTTAGACCTACATACTTTGATAGAAAATACAAGCAGTTAGTCGAAGGCGATACGGGGGTCGGCGTGGTCGAGTCGGTAAAGCTCATGGTTGCTAAACCGAAAAGTTTCGAGTTCGAACCCTCGGGCAGATGAGGCTCGTTAGCTGGGGACAGCCACTCTTCTAGGAGAGACAACTCCAAAATTAAACAACTGCTGCCTTGTAGTTTGTTCTTGGTTGGACAAAGGCTATGGAAGCAAATCCAAAAAGAAAAGCAGGCTGAAATCGGAGTCAATGGCCTCAATGGCGCATAAACAGTTGACACGTAACGCTTAATTGTGTTGAAGGCGTGGTCGAGTCGGCAAAAAGCTCATGGTTGATAAATTCGAACAAAGTCTCGAGTTCAAACCCACTGGCAGATAAATCTCGATCCCCTTCAACACTAATAATTAAGAACGAAGAAGAAGAAGAAGGCGATACTTTCTTGGTCTAACGCCCACAAACCTGAGCAGTTGTGATGTAAACTTGATAGGGACTTACAATCTACAATATACAGTAACGTCAGAAAATTATTCAATGCGTGTGTTGAATTAAGCTTAACTAACAAAATACTTAATGTAAAATCTATATATATAATTCTCTTCTTCGAGCCGTTAGAAAACAAGCTGCAAACGCTCTCCCTACCTCCCCACCCCTACATGGTTTTAGTGAGCTGTGTTCACTCTAAATGTTTACAAGCAGAGCCAACTATTTTAAACGTAGGGGGGGAGGGGGGGGGGGGAGGAAGGGGGGGTTATGGTCCTTAACGAGCTACTTATAGTGTTTTAAAGAAATATTTTCAGTGTCAGCGTTGGTACTGTCGAATTCACAAATTATGAATTATTGAAAATTAGAAACAACTAAATAGCGGCGTATGTTATGCCGCGGGCCGGCTCGTAACTTATAAAATATATTTTATGCAGTTTAATAGGCAATTAAAATATGTTCTACTGTATTTTTATACACAAGTGAACTCTACTTCACTTGCCCCATAGACCGTCAGGTTTGAAAGGGAAACTTTACCTTTTACTGTATTTTGATACCTTACATCGGTCCTACGTTAAAAGTTTTTTGTAGAGGGCATGCCATTCTTGCATTATTTAACATTTTCCC